AAAGGCGAAATATAGTCTATGGCTCATATATTTAGTGCTTGGCGCTTGTGACCTGACTTGCTTTACGAAGAAAGGATCTGGAAAATGGTTGGGGTAACGTAATTACTAATCATGTAATTTTTTCTTCTAACAGGTTTTCAGGTAACAAATGAAACGTATAAATAAACCGGATTTGCGAGGAATCATTTTTAATCTTATCGATTTTTTTTGAAGGTACGCATTATGAATAAATTTTTGAGTCAGAAATATAGTTACAACTTCATGTATTAATTAATAGTTTTGTTTTTTCTTAGCAGTTACGATGTCAGAAAACAAAATTTTATATGTGGAAGGAGAAACAAAAGACTTTGATACTGATCACGAGAACATCCGAGTAAAGATTGAAGTGTTAAATGAAGACGTCGCGAGGGTTTTTCTTGTAGATAAAAATGATATTCCAATTGACGATTTAGAGCGGAGCTCATGCCAAGGCATAGAAAATGTAGTTTTTATGAATGTAGCGACTAAAAATAAAGTTTCAACTGTACTCGTTGAGAATAGAAAAAGTTATCTCATAACTTGGAGAATTTTTAAGTTAAATCAACAGAAAGAGCAAAGTAGTGTTGAGATATCATTGGCCCGCTATTTTCAAAAGAAGTAATTTGCAGTATATAACTGCGATATGATTTTTTATTTTATGTTATTATTTTTGTAACATTTTTTATATATCAATAATAAAACGGGTCATATTGACTTATTTTAATTATGAATTACAATTACTTTTAGCGAAGTCATTTACACATATTAATATAGATATGTCAAATATGTCTCGCAAATCTAAAAATAACAGACGAAAAACTCAAAGTAGATTTACCGATAATCCTAAACAATATGCAATTTAAAAATCTGTCTAAGTATATGCATAGAATTGATGAAGATTTTATAACAATTATAAATAAGAACACTCAAGATGTGAAGGTGATATTTGATTATGGGCAAATCCCAGAGTCTAATGACTCATATTCTCAGCATGTAGTAGTGGTAGAAAATTATTGGATATGTAAATAATTAATCGATTTATTTTTTTTTCCAGAAAAATTAGTGATCGTTAATGTAAAAAGTAAATGCGAATTGACCTCCAGGTCAGTTTATTTATACGAAAATAAAAAAAGATACAGGATATACCTACATATATAAAAAAAATGATGATTAGTTTTGTTCGAATTCTTTGTAGCTTCTTTTCTGTAATTTAAATGGAGATGGTGATCTTGGTGGAGATGCAATAGTCGATGTTGTGGAAGTTTGTGACAAGTCTGATGTAATCGACATTGTTTTGACCGAATAATCAGAAGTATCCATTACTTTACATACTGTACATATTATTGCGCTTCTGAAAGTCAATAGTACGTGGATAATAGGATAGACATTCTCCAGTTCTGTGTGTGGGGTGGATAAGGGGATGGTTGCTCGTTCAAGCAGGGAATTTTTATATATTGATGATTCTTTATTCATGCAGCGTAATTCTAGCACCCTCCCAACGATATTAATTGTAAATATTGTCAACATTTCTTTCATCATCAATTTTCTGAACAATCTTTCATATTTAGGATTTCTCGTGAGATCAATAGAGTCCTTTGAAGTCTATTGAGTTTTTTATGATCTCGTTTTTGCTTATCATCGGAAGAATCTGGTCGACCGGTTTCAAGATATGCAAACTCCATAGACTTATTTTTAATTTGTACGACAACTCTGTAGTCGGGTCTTTTTGCAAGCTTATTCGAACCCTTGCGTTCTGCGCTGGCTAAACTTGCCTCATCCCCCCTTTTTAAATATGTTAGTGATTATACAAGACTTAATAAAAAATTATAAATTATACATACCAAGCACCCCATATAGTGTAATCTATAGGTAAATCACTCATTACAATATTCAGCAATGGTGATATAACCTCACATATGCACAAACCCTTGCTTATGTTGGGCTCTTTTGACAAGACATATAACTTCCACTTTGAGGACCCCCAGATTCAACTAAATGCTTCTAGCATCTGGTTTGTCAATTTATGTAATGTTTCGGGACATCTAAAAACTTACCAAAAGTTACTCCTTCAACCAATTTAGGGACTTTCTCAAAGTACTTCTTCTTTTCGCTTTGGACAAATTCTTCACAAATAGCTTTTAACTTAATATCTGTTGGTATTATAAACTTTCTACTTAAAGACCTAAAAATATTGCGCAACTCTTCTGACATATCCTTAAAAGGTTCAGAACTATCATCCAATATTCCTGAGCATAGTGGATGAGCGTGTCCCAAGTCTTTCACATTTACTTTACGCAATCCTTCCTCTACAGTCCTCCACATGGTCTTTTCGTCCCCAGATGTTGCTAATACATACTAAACTCCACATATTAATAAGATGTTAGAAAAAAGAACAAGCTTTACCCTAAAATACGAACCTTATGTACTTCATTCTTCAATGTCTCGAAGTTTTTCAATGCTTCAATTAGCCAAGATTCCTTCACATTTTGACTCTTTTTTCTATTGAAGAGGCAAGTTTTCTTCACGTTCTACAATAGTAAAGAATAAGCATTTGCAACAATACAGGTTTTCTTTGGAAACATTGAGTAAAAAGCATACCAAAGCGTTGAGCTCCAGTGAAGATCGGATATGATCAAATGCTTCTGACACCTAAAATACAGAACATTAATCAGCTGAAATTCAAACCGATTCAGTAATGATAAATATGTGCGCGCGATCAGATTGATTTTCTTTTTTCAAAATAAATTTTTTCAAAGAATAGGCTAGCCAATGATTAATACATAGCCTCAACAAAATTCATACTCGGTGTTTAATGTATATAAACAGCTACTGCCACGTCCGCGAAGTATTTATACTAAGAAGACGTTGGTACATTCACAGTCTATATACCACTTTATATTTCATCCATTGAGGTAATCGGAAAGTGACGAAAATGAATGTCTACCCCATGATACATGCTTGTGATTTCGTCACCCCCAAAGAAAACCAATAATTCATCACATCAAATATATTTTAAACTATCAATAATTATAATGACTTACTCTTTGCTCCAAAGTCTTGTCATTTCTGAAACTATGAAGTTTCCCCCATCTTTCTTCTTCATCCGGAGAAACCAGTTTCAAGGCAGTCTCAAGCACTCCAGCAAAATTCTCAATTTCTTCTTCGCGGTCATCTGTCCATTCACCTGCTTCAACCCGCTTATATAATGCAGTGAAAATGGTTATTGCTGAGATTGGTTTGAATTTAACTAAGAAAGATTCCATTTTTTTAATTGAGAAATTTTAGAATTTAAAGTATATAAAAAAACACAATTTGTCAATGATTACAATCATAACTCGAAATACTGCCCTTTTTAAACATTTTCCTTCCATGTCTCACTCTAGATCTATCGAATGGATAATGCAGAGATATAAGAAGTCTTTACGCCAAGATAAAGAAAAAGAATGCATATGAATGCTAATTAATCGAATTTGGTTAATTGCACAAATAAACATGCATGTGTTATTTATTATATACTCAGCCCCATTAAAATGTTGCACGACATATCCAATTATTTGATCGATTAGATTATTAGTGTTTGTACTCATAATAGGTTACTCATGAGTAATCCAGATACTCATGAGTAACATGAGTACCGTGAGTACTGTGAGTACTCATAGATCATGCTATTAATAGAAAGATCTGCACTCATGAGTACTCAAGTGTTACAAAGCAATATTGACCTATCATATTTAGGTATTTTATTATGATCGTTATTATTACATATTATATATTATTATTATTATTATGTAGATATTTACAGCGCAAACACAAAAGTTTTTAGAAGACAACCAGAAATAAAATTTTTATACAAATTTGATTTCGAGAACCAAACTATCAAGAAATAAACTGGAAACAAAACTTTTATATAAATTTTAATTTAAACCATATACAAAAATAATAAAATTTATTTCTTTTTTTATTGTTTATTTTCTCGACTCAATTTTTACTATATTAGGTATTTGTCATACATGAGTACTCATGAGTAACATCCCTATAGATTATCAAATTTGAAAAATTCTAATTCATCAATATAATTTTAGAAACGATATGGAAAAGACATTCAACTATTTCATACCCGCATCTAAAGAAAAATAAAGTCAAATATATTTACGGACTTCCTTCTGGATTTTGCGAAGAAGATATGGTCGAGGAATTTATTGGAGGTAAGTACACAATTATATACTTGAAAAAGTGGATCAAGGTTATGGATTAAATGAGACTTGAATCTCATACATCAGACACATAAGTGGGAATTCCTTCGTTTATGGAAATGCGGTAATATCAAAAGAGGATGGGAATATGGACGATAATAGTGTCAAACATGTTTTCAAAGAAACTGACATCGGTATGGATATGATGCAAAGCGCCGAATCTTTGATTCCTGATAATTACATTTAATCGAGCAAAAAATACAGATATGTGAACTTATTATTATTTTAAAAATTAAGATGTATCTTTATTATTTTTTATATGAAATTGACTAAACTAATACAATATAAAATGATAGAGTAGCGAGTTTAAAGGGAGGAAGTACTCGAGCCCTAACCCATAAATGAGAGTTCCTTCCCGCTACTCCATACTATCTATCCATGAATCAATTTGGTCCACGGTACTTG